CTCAAGCAGTAGAGCGCTAGCCTTGAGCTGAAAAGCCGAGGGACAGTGACCAGGCCCAGAGTTCAGGCCCACGACCGGACCCCCCCCCCAAAAAAAATCACTAGAAACAAGACACAACCCACAGAATGGTAGAAAAATCTCTGCCAGCTAGTCACTAGATTTAATATCCAGAATATACAAAAACCTCAAAAAATTAAACAGCAAGAGAACAAATAACCCAATTCATAAATGGGCAAGCAAACTAAGCAGTTACCACAGAAATACAAATGGCTAATAGACACATAAAGAAAGATTCAACATCCTCAGCCATAAAGGAAATGCAATTCAAAACCACATAAACATCCATCTCACACCAGTCAGAAGGACAATAAAACAAAAACAAAATCGAACAGTAACAGCTAGATACCAGTGTCTCACATATGTAATCCTAGCAACTCAGGAGGCTGGATCTGAGGACTGTAGTTCAAACCAGCAGCAGTAGGAAAGCCGGAGAGTTTCTTACCTACAATTATCTACCACGAGGATTTCAAGTTCAATGCCAAAAGTGGACTATACAGCAAGTTCCAGGCCAGTCTGGGATGCATAGGGAAACCATATCAGAGAGTGAGGGAAGGAGGAAGGAAGCAGAGACTAGAAAAAACTGCTCTCCCAAACAGACCCTTTGTCCAATCACTGAGCCCACTACTAAACAATCTTGTGCACATGTGCACAAAGTTGAACTTTAAATATTTTTTTTCTTTTTGCTTATGTGATGCTGAGGAATCGAACCCAGGGCCTCATGCATGTAAGGCAAGCACTCTACCACTGAACCACCTTCCTAGCCCCGAACTTTAAATATTTTATTTATTTTTTTTGTCAGTCGTGGGGCCTGAACTCTGGGCCTGGGTGCTGTCCCTCAGCTCTTCAGCAATAGACTAGCACTCTACCACTTGAGCCTCAGCCCCACTTGCAGCTTTTTCTGCTTATGTGGTGCTAAGGAATTGAATCCAGGGCCTCATGCATGCAAAGCAAGCACTCTACGACTGAGCCACCTTCCCAGCCCCAAACTTTAAATATTTTAAAGGTCTACTCTTAAATACAAAAAAAAGCAGACAATTATCAGTAGATTTTTAAAAATATTATCTAGATAAGACTAATCAGTAGAATTTTAAAGAAAATTATCTAGATAAGACTAACATGTAGACATGTATACGCAGACATGCAAACACACACACATACAAACATGAAACACACAGGGAGTGGGGGGGCTAGATAGAAACATTAACAGGAACAGAATTAAACTTCAGAATTAACTTCAAATGAAATTATAGTCATCCTTACAGAAATTAAAATAAGCACTGGGAAGGTGGCTCAGTGGTAGAGTGCTTGTCTTGCATGCATGAGGCCCTAGGTTCGATTCCTCAGCACCACATAAGCAAAAGGAAAAAAAGCGAAGTGGCGCTGTGGCTCAAGTGGTAGAGCGCTAGCCTTGAGCTGAAGAGCTGAGGGACAGCGCCCAGGCCCAGAGTTCAGGCCCCATGACTGGACCCCCAAAAAAACAAAAAAAAAGAAATTAAAATAAGCCCCCAATGTTTTAAATAATAAACTAAAACTCCCAAACATCATGTTACATAATTTATATATAATGTACATAATCATAGTTTTCAAAATACAGAATCAAAATAAGATTGTAAAAGCTTTAGAAATGTTTAGAGAAGTAGTCATGTACAAAGGATAAGAATTCAGATTATCAAACTTAACATCCCTACAATTCCACATACTACCTAAAGTTCAGGATGAAAATTATTTCCAAAATAAAATGCTAAAGGGACAAAGGGTGAACAAATGCAGCAGTGGTACTCACTAGACACTATACTGAAAATGAACTGTATAACTTGTGGGTGGGGACAGGAGAGAAAAACTGACAGCATGCAAAGGAAGGGGTGACCTTGTCCAAAAAAGAAATACACTCTTCACCTGACCATGTAACTGTAACCCCTCTGTTCATCACCTTTATAATAACAATAAAAATTTAAAATATAATAAAATGCTGTCCATAAACTATCCATCAAAGTATGAGGATAAAGTTATTTTAATCTCTCAAATATAATTCTTTTCTTAGAAAGCTGCAAGAAAAAAAAATGGGTTCTATAGAAGTGAAGGGGCAGGAAGATCAAGATAGAAAAAAAATAGGAGACAGAGAATATGCAATGTGACACAAGAAAGAAGTCTCCTGGCAAAACAACCACGAGCAGTCTTTGATATTAGCTAGCTGGATGAAGGGTTCAAAAAAGAGGCTTAAAAAATAATGGACCAAACTGAATGGTATTTGTGCTTCTGGCTGAGATGGGGAATGGTTGAAGAAAATGGTTTAAGAAGCCATAATGCAGAGTAGATAGATGATAATTATATGGCTATGAAGATATAAAAATTAAATATAGGTGTTAAGCAAAAAGTATAATAACTATTAAGAACATGAGAAGGGAAAAAGTTTGAGTAGGGTATATGACTATAAATACTTTTCTGCTCTAGGAAGACAAAAGAGATAGTGAGAAAGGGGATTAAATGCTTTTCATCGTTACAAAGTTACTATTTCATGTTTTAAAGCCAAGTATTGTGAATTTTTCATTTACTTTCAGAAAAAGTTAGATTATACCAGTTGCTTAGAAGGGTTTCCTTGAAATACCGTTAGTAAAGACAAGATACATTGTAACAGGATTCCATTAGACAGTGGAAAGAAACATGTCTAAGTACAATTTTAATATCATAAAGACATAGACAGTGAAGCAAAGAATTCAAGTAATAAGTATACAAAGAAACATGTCTAAGTACAATTTTAATATCATAAAGAAGACATAGGAGGTAAAGCAAAGAACTCAAGTAATAAGTATACATATACATAATTTATATGTAAGATACACAATTGTGTACAGAGGAACATTCACAGACATCTGAAAAAAATCAGGCACAGATCGTCAATGATAGCTAAATCTGGGGTGACAATTTAATTTTTTGACAATAAGCCTATTTATGTATCTGTTTATAATTTACTCTTACCTGGTATATTCTGTAATAAAGTCTATTTTTAATTTTTTAAAGAATTACAGGGGCTGGTAGAGCGCTTGCCTTGTATGCATGAGGCCCTGGGTTCGATTCCTCAGCACCACATAAGCAGGAAAAAAAAAAGCTGGTAGTGGTGCTGTGGCTCAAGTGGTAGCGCGCTAGCCCTTGAGATGAAGAACTGAGGGACAGCGCTCAGGCCCCACGACCGAACCAAGAAAGAAAGAAAGAAAGAAAGAAAGAGAGAAAGAATTACAAAAAAAACTTGTTATCCAGAAGGTAAGAACATAATATTTCTTTTTGAAAATCCCACTAACAAACTAGAGTGTTATATTTTCATATATATTACAGATCTAAACTTCCATTTCTTTACTAAAATTGGGTTTTGTTTGTATTACAAAAAGCCAGCTTTCTCCTAACTACAAAGTAGCTACACAAATAAACACAGTATAAATTTTTACTTATTTGTCTCTTTTTAACATTTCAAGTACAGAGAGAAAGAGAAAGAGAGAGATCAACTATACAGTATAAGTAAAATTAGCCATTTACTAGTTGTAGTCGGCAGCAATCCCAAACTTTTGATAATTTGAATAGTTACATGTTAAAGTAGTATTTATATTTATGAAAGATAAATAACAATTGCAAAAGCTTGTCTAAACTTCTCTGAATAGATTTATCTTGAACTTTAGGTTCATATGAGCATTAAACTTGTTTTAATCTGACAAACTCTCAAACACACCTCACAATTTTTAGCAATAAGCAATGATTTATTCAAAAATGGCATGTTATAGTACAGTGAATTCTTGCTTGTTGTTTTACCCACAACTTTCCAGATATATTAATGATTTTACAAAATAAAAGCTCATTTTTCAAGGTGGCTTGAGAGCCACCAAATAGAGAAGAATGGATCTGGAACTCTTTCTAAGAGTTTCAGAGTCACCCCCACATTTTTTTTTGGGTCCGGTCATGGGGCCTGAACTCTGGGCCTGGGCACTGTCCCTCAGCTCTTCAGCTCAAGGCTAGCGC